GGCTGCGTGTGCCAGGGCCCTGAACCGACACGTTCCCACCGTGCCCAAAGGCACCAGCCTGCCCACTCACCGGGAGAATCTGGGCCAGCCCCACCTCTGCCCACCGCTGAGCCCCCACACCAGCTCTGCCCTTCAATAGCTGCCCTCCTTTCTCTGTGCCCTCCACCCCCACCCCGTGGTCCCCTTCTGCAGTCCCAGGGGTTGGGGGTCCTCTTGGCCCCACCACAGCCACAGGGACTGGGGGTCCGTCAGGGATGTCCGTGCACTCACGGGTAGCAGTGCCAGGATGCCCGGGCTCGGCCAGCGTCCCAGAAAGGACAAAGCCTGTGGCCAGGGCTCAGCCCTGCTGCCGCCAGGGCTGCATCACAGCTGGCCGGGCAGAGCCCCCCTATGTAACTGGTATTTGTTAATGGCACGTCCCATGACCACTTGTGATGGGGATCACTAGGTCATCGAGGTTGGCAGGGACCTCGGGAGATCATCCAGGCCAACCCCAGCTCAAGCAGAGTCAGCAGGAGCTGGTTGCTCAGGACTTTGTCCAGTTGGGTTTTGAATATCTCCAGCGATGGAGACTCCACAGCCTCTCTGAACAGCCTGCCCCAGTGCTTGAGCACCGTCACAGCAAAAAAGTGTTTTCTTATGTTCAGGGGAAGTTTCAAGTGTTTATGCCCATGGCCTCTTGTCTTGTCTCTGGGCACCACTGGCAAGAGCCTGGCTCAGTCCTGTTTGTGCCCTCAGGTATTTATAGGCATTAGTAAGGTTCCTCGGAGCCTCCTCTTCTCCAAGCAGAACAATCCCAGCTCTGTCAGCCTTTCCTCCTATGAGCGGTGCTCCAGTCCTTTAACCATCTTTGTGGCCCTTCGTGGGACTCTCTCCAGCAGGTCCGTGTCCCTCTTGTGCTGAGGAGCCCAGCACGACGCAGCGCTGCAGGGGTGGCCTCCCCAGGGCAGAGCAGAGGGAAGGAGCACCGCCCTTGACCTGCTGGCCAGACTTTGCCTGATGCAGCCAGGGCTCCGTTCACCTTCTTTGCAGCAAGGGCGTGTTGCTGGTTCATCTTCAGCCTGGTGCCCACCAGAACCCCCAGGTCCTGTTCTACCAAGCTACTTTCCAGCCAGGCAGCCCCCAGCATGTGCCGGTGCGGGGGGTTGTCCCTTCCCTTGGGCAGGACTTTGCACTTCTCCTTGTTGAACTACAAAGGTTCCTGTCAGCCCATTTCTCCAGCCTGTCGAGGTCCCTCTGGATGGCAGCACAACCCCCTGGTCTATCAGCCTCTCCTCCCAGTTTTGTGTCATCTGCAAACTTTCTGAGGGTGCCCTCTGCCCCAGATCGTTAACAAGGAGTTTAAACAGGATTGGACCCAGTATGGATCCCCAGGGCACACTGGTAGTGACTTGCCTCCCATTAGACCTCATGCCATCGATCACCACCCTCTGGACCCAGCTGTTCAGCCAGGTTTCAGCACACGTCTGTGTCTGCTCATCCTACCCATTCTTCATTAGCTTCTCTACGAGGATGTGATGGGACATAGCTCCAAAAGCCTTACTGAACTCAAGATATACAAAACCCACTGCTCGGCCTTTGCCCACCAAGTCTCATTAGGCTGGATAAGCCTGATTTCCCCTTTGTAAATCCATACTGAATAATTCAAATCACCTTTTCGTCCTTCGTGTGTCTGGTAAGGGTTTCCATAATGAGGTGCTTTATCACCTTCCCAGGGTTTGAGAGGAGGGTGACCGGCCTGTCTTGTAGATAGGGATGACGTTTGGGTTTTTTCCCAGTCTTCAAGAATGTCTCTCGATTGCCTGTGACCTCTCAAAGGTAACAGAGTGGTCTCACAAAGTCAGCACTCACGGGTGCATCCCGACAGGTCCCATGAACTTAAGAATGTCTGTTGTGTGCTCCCTTATGTGGTCCTCCTCCACCAAGGATCGCTCTTTCTTACTCCAGACTTTTGCCCTGATCTCGGACTCCTGAAGGCTGGTCATGCCTGTGAAGACCGAGGCCAAGGAGGCATTGAGCACATCGGCTTTCACCGTGTCCTTTGTCACCAGCTCCCCTGCCACATTCAGCAGCAGACCTGTGTTTTTCCCTGTCCTTTTGCTGTTGCTGTACTTGTAGAAGCCTTTGTTGTTGCCCTTCATATCCCTCAACAGATTCAGCTCTGGGCAGGCTTTGGCTTTCCTAACTCCATCCCTGAATGTCTCTGTGCTCTTTCTGGGCCAGCTGCCTGCTGCCACCACTTGTGCACCTCCTTTGTATGTCTGAGATCATTCGGGAGCTCCTGAGCGTTGGACAGGACCACCAACCACCTGCAGGTATCCTGAGGAAGCAGTAAAGGACAGCTCACAGAGGGTGGTGAGACACTGGAACAGGTTGCCCAGGGAAGCTGTGGCTGCCCATCCCTGGAAGTGTTTAAGGTCAGGTTCGATGGGGCTTGGAACAACCTAATCTAGTGAAAGATGTGCCTTCCCATGGCAGAGAGGTTGGACCGGATGGCCTTTAAAGGGCCTTTCCAACCCAAAGCGTTCTGTGAGTCTATGAAATGCTGGTAGAGGCATTTTCTTTGAGGAAATTTCCTCCTCACCCTGCAGGGTCCGTGTATGAGATCTCAGGCAACGAATGCTGCTTGTCGACGGGCGACCTGCTGAAAGTCATGGCTGTGGCGCTGCAGAAGGTCGTGTGTGAGGACACGAAGACAGGGCAGACGACGGAGCTGCCACCGACGTTTAAAGGTGAGCAGGGCTGCCCTGCCCCAGCCCACCCCCCATGGACGCGCCCTCCTCCCCAGGGAGACCTTTGCAGCCCCCGCGGGCTCATCCTCA